CGCCAGGTTACTCGCCCAAAAGTTCGGCACGACATGCACAACGCCTCCCGCGAGAGCGACCAAGGCGGCCGCGCGACATGCTGCACAGCACGATGCAGCGAGGCCAGGACCGCCGCCGTTCCGCATCGGCTCGATGCCCCTGCTCCCTGGGCGGCTACACCCGCCGCAGACGGCGACTTCCGGGGGATGCTCCGCTTCACGGAAGGCCCATCACAACCTCACTGCACAGAGCGAGAACGCCAACTTGCGCAACAGAATATTGCAGGACCTTACAAGCCCATCGCAACCTCTTGCTCAGCGCGATCGCCAGTTTGCACAACAGAACATTGCAGGACCTTGCAAGGCCTTTTCAGGACATTCCCTTTGCGGGCAAGTTCTTTGGACACTCCCTATGCTTTGCCCTTTGCGGGACAAGTCTTTGTCGCCCTTTTCGTTGCGGGACACTCTCGCGGGCACCCCCTGAACCGCTGACTCCCGCCCTTGGCGCCTCGGCGGGGATCGGCGCACCTGGTGCTGGGTGTGGGTGGCGATCGCGACCGTCGCGGCCGGCCGGCGGGCCGACAGGGCTGCGGCCAGCGCCGCCAGGGGCTGCACGTCGCCGCGCGTGCCCTGTGCGAAGAAACACACGCGGGCTTCGTCTGCGACCATTTGGAGAGGGGGGGGGAAGGGAGACGGTTCACACAGACAATTCATCGAGCACAACCCTCAAATTTGCACGCCCAAGCGGTGTCCAGGGGACCGATACAGACAAAGATGCCCAAATGCGGGTGCCGAACGTTCCTTTAGGACCATCGTTGACGGCTTGGGATGGCAATTCGTCCGTTCGACGATGAATGGCCATTCGTCCGTTCGACGATGAATGGCCATTCGTCCGTTCGACGATGAATGGCCATTCGTCCGTTCGACGATGAATGACCCATTAGATGGAGCGATGAATGGCCCATTCGTCCATTAAAACGATGAATAATACGTCTCCCGTTCGACGATGAATGGCCATTAGATCATTTGACGATGAATATTGCGATAGTCGTTCGTGCGATGAATGGCCATCGTCCGTTCGACGATGAATGGCTTGTGCGTCTGATCTGGAAACGATGAATATTACGTCGTCCATTCGAGCATCAGAACCTATTTGTCGACTCCGTTCGACGATGAATATCCATTCGTCCGTTCGACGATGAATGTCCATTCGTCCGTTCGAAGATGAATGGCCATTCGTCCGTTCGCCGCTGAATGGCCATTCGTCCGTTCGACGATGAATGGCCATTCGTCTGTTCGACGATGAATGGCCGTTCGTCCGTTCGACGATGACTGGCCATTCGTCCGTTCGACGATGAATGGCCTGTCATCTGTTCAAACCAGTGGTTTCGCCCGGTTGGGGACTTGATGCCTGGATGTGGAAGCCCCGACAGTAGCGTGAACGAAGTTTTCCGAGTGGTTACGTTGTCCTGCCCGATGGAGAATAGTTAGTAGTCTTTCTTTATGCACTGCCGCTGGTGCACGGTTGGGTGGGTTGTTTGGCTTGATGTTATGAATCATTTTGGCACGCAGTTGGGGTTGCCGGTGCGTCGATTGAGTCGCCGTGTTTCATTGGCGCAGCTGGGCTGGGCGCGGAATGAGGATCTGGGGTTCTCGAACGAGCCCTAATGGGGCATTCTTGTGCTGGCCATTGCCTGCGAGGCGCACAGGATTTGTTTTCCTGGTTTTCTGGCAGTATGTGATGGATTGATAATTTGGATCCAAAGCATTGAAGTCACGTTGGCGAAGTGTAACGTAACGCCCATTTGGTGCCAAAAGTGGTTTCCAGACCCCTGAAGCCCAAAAACTCATCAATGCCACAGATCTGACGGCGTCAGACTGGCGCTCGCCAAGGAGAAGCCCAAAGCTCAAAGCAGTACGCTGCCCCGTTCAACCCAAAATAGCATCCCCGTCCACTTCAGTTTGGCTCGCCACGCCAGCAGTACTTCGCGCAGCACCCACACCCCCGTCTGTACATTACCCCGCTTCTGCATGAATCATCACCCACGATCGCCCCGACGCCGCGGTGCGAGTGCCAAAGGGCGACCAGCTGCGCTCGAGTCGCCGGACAGCCGCCCTCGGCCGGCCATCCGCGGCCACCCTCGCAACGGCGCGCTCCGGGCCACCCGCGACGCTTGGATGATCCCAAATCGCAGGCGCCGCGCGGCGGATCGAGATCATGGACCCCCTGGAGAAGTACGAGCTGCTGCAGCAGCTGGGTGAGCGTGCGCGAGTGTGTCGAGATGCGTGTTGCAAAGTCTGTGAAACTCGGGTCATGCGATGGAGCGCGCCCTCCTGAGTAAGCATGCGGTGGGCTCTGTGCCGATTTCCAGTGGTGTGGGTGCCGCCGTCGGCAAGATTGGTGGGGCGGTGGGTGGGTGAGATTTGTTGCAAAGAAGGAAAAGAAACGGGCCATACAAAGGGCACCCGCTCACGTGCAAGTGCATGCGGGACTCCTTTCCATGCTTTGAGAAGATGATGCAGAGGCTTCGACGCGAAATGATGAGCACACAACGCAATCTGGGGGGGGGGGGGAGGGGAGCCGGGGCAGTGGGCCTTGAGGTGATGCCCCAAAGATGCGGTCCAGCGGGCTCGCTGGGAGGATTGTTGGTTGGGATTCGGTGAGGGATGCAGAAAAGGGGTCTGTGGGCGGAGTGGTGCGGGGCAGGGGTGGTCGCCTGCCTTTGGGCCTCGCCAGGGATGGCTGATGGGAGGCTGGGGAGCGCCCAGGGCGGCACTGGGTGGGCAATCTAGGCTTCACGCGCGTGTGGATTTGCGGTGCCATGGGTTCTGGTAGAAGGTGTGAAGGGTTGGGCGCCCTTTGGGGCCGCTGGGTCGCTTTCGCGGTGTGGAAAGTAGTCCTGGGCGGGAAGCAAGAGAAAGGGGACGAAAGTGGAAGGGGGCTGGTGCTCAGAGGAGATTGTCACAGGAGGCGCATCGTGTGGGGTCTTGCCATCCTGTTGAAGAGACAGGTTGCGAAAGGGGAGCCTTGAGAAAGATGTGCTTGGGAATCTGAATCTGCTCCGGAGGTATTGTGAGACATCGGTGAGTTTGGCGTTCCCCTGTGCCATGCTTGGACTGCTGGACCTGCTGATCAGCCCCGTCTGGGGCCAACCTGGGGCACTGCTGGATCACTCGACACCAGATCGTGCCTTGCCTGCTGGTACCAGACAGTGCTTTTCTTCTGGGTGGAAGCCTCACAGCCCACCCCCAGAGGTTGCTGATGAGCCAAGAAGAAGCTGTTCATCGGCCCTAACGTAGATTGCACTCGGGGGCCCCCTGTGGCTGCCCCTGCTGTATAACATGCCTTGCTGGCTGCTAAGGTTGGCAAGTATGGCCACAAGGCGCTTGCCTTGGGGAGACTCTGCAACCTACAAATGCGGCCCCTCCATGCCTGGTGACTGAAAGAAAAGTGATCATAATGGGGCAGGGTAATCACAATGGGGCAGTTCTGGGGACCACACGCCCTTATTCAGGATTCATCATAGCATGCTCACATTTGTTTTGTGTCTAACTACCGAGTTTCTTGCTGTTGGCACTATGCTGCGCTGCATTCTTTCCTGTTGCTATGGGAGAGATGTGCAGAAAGTGCCACAGAATGTGGAAAGATCTGACAGCTTTTTCAAGATGGGTGGGCGCACTTTGTCCAGCATGTGCTCTTCCTGTTTTGAAAGTGAATCATAGGCTGTGACTGATAGCAGGGTCACAATTCTGTAGCGCCAAGTTCCGCTGTCCTGGACATTTTGTTTGTGGCTCACGACTTGTTTGTCACTAGGCATAGCATGGAATGGAGCTTCATAGATATTGATGTTCTGAGAGGGCACTGACAGCCCTCCAGCATTCCGTGATATTCCCCTGTAGCTTCCGAACCTGTAGAGCATCTACCACACTACACGGCCAGAGTCCAGTGCAAACATCCTTGCTCTGGAGGGTATACGCTTTGTATAATATCCTTGCTGTCTGTCAGTAGTGCGCTTCTATCCGTACTCATATGCAACCACCAGTTTTACCCATGTTGGCCCTCTGCCACAGTGCTGCAGAATCATCAACTGCGCCTTCAGGAACTTGCCCAGTTTTGACGGGCACACAGTTTGGCATGCTCATTGTATGTGCCAAAAAACGGGAGTTCACTACCCTGGTGACTGTTGAGCGACTTCATTGTCTGCTGGCCACAGGGAAAGGCTCGTATGGCATCGTCTACAAGGGCGTCGACAGGCAGACGTCAGAGATCGTGGCTGTCAAGATCATTTCGTTGAGTGGTCAACAGGGAGAGGAACTTGTGCGGATACAGAGAGAGATTGAAATGTTGCAAGGCTGCGGCCATCCAAACGTCGTGCAATACAAGGTGAAGCCTCCATCCCTGGCGCACCAAACGCATGGCAGAACTGCCTCTCTAATTTCCCATTCTTGTTCGGTCCATTTTTTATCAGCCTGTTTGCAGAAGAAGACGAAGAAGAAGAAGAAGGGCATGCATGTACAAAGAAAGAATGTGTGGCTGTGCCAGTCTGCTGTGCATCTTGTGACAATGTTTGCATTGGTCAAATCGGCCTTAACAAACTATTTATGATGGAAAATGTGTGGTGGAGACTGGTGTCTGCTCCCTGGTCAAATGCCATTCTCTACTTGACTTGAATACCTGTGCGTACCATTGTAGTTTCTCAGTGCATTTTCCACGCTCTTGATGGACAACACTGCCCTTCAGAAGCGAGGGCTTTGAGGCCGTGGGTCATTGGGAGCTCTTAGTGTGTGGCAGAGATCGAAGACTTGTGTTGAAACTTTATGTATGATTGGAAGCATAAAAAAAATTTAATGCCACGGTCCAGGTGCCACAGAAGAGGTGCGGGACACCTGACAAAGAATCTTGAGTATTCCATCAAAAGAGCTTCACCCATTTTGCAATAAACAGGAATCACAGGGCACACAGTGGCCTCTAAGCCCATGTTTGCCTGGTGTTGTTGCCATTAGTCAGCCCGACAGGCACATGCCAGTCCCTGTAAGCCCCTCCTCAAAGTCCATGCAGATCAACTGACCGCATCTCTTGAAATGCACAGGGCAGCTACACCTACAACGATTCCCTGTGGATTGTGATGGAGTTCTGTGGGGGTGGCAGCATTGCCGATATTGTGCGCTCCCTGGATACCCCCCTAACAGAGGACCTCATCGCTTATGTGTGCGCAGAGACATTGAAGGTGCGGTTCACCCGGATCTCATTTTAAAAGGTGGGAGAAGGGGTGAGGGGTGGGGGGTACTGTACAGTCAAGCAAGGCTCCGATTGCAGGACTGGTCAATGTCAAAGGCCATCGTGCCAAAGTACAGCGAGTCTTGTGTTCACGTTGGTGCGATGCTTGTCTCAGGACTTGTCTTGCAATGAAAATTGAGGAGAAACCAGAGCTGGCGGAGGTTATTATGGGATCGATGCATGCAAGAGCTGGGTTGAGCACCAGTTGAATGAAGCTGTGCGTTCATTTCAGCATTGCACCGTGGTACTTGGAGGCATCTTGTGCTACCAGTCTGATTTGGGCAAACGGCTTGTCATGCTTTGGTCTCTATTTCGACATGCTGCTCAAGGGACAGGCAGAGCAGCATGTGGCCCTGCATTCTTTGGCATGTCTTCTAATAATTGCACACTGCATAAAAAGTGACAGCCCATGTGACACCCTCGTCCTCACATGTTATATGCAAGCTGTGTGCCATCTTTCAGGAGAATTATTACAATGCTATTTCATGTAAATGATGCGTAGAATATGATTGGAGTACTGCTGGCATATTGCTAGAATGCAAGTTGCAGCAACAAACAGACTGTCCTACTGAATGCCCACTCTCAAGGAAGCACAACCTTGGGTGACACCTATTCAACTATGGAGTGGAGCTGATTGTGAGCTAATCAGATTTGTTATATTTCAAAGTTTGGTGAAATGTTGCATTTATAGTGCTTAGCAACTGCCTGAAGAAGCCTCTAACGCCCATTTTTGATTCCAGCAAATGATCTGCTCAAAAAGTTGTCTTGCTAATTTTGCCACTACTCTTTGTCCAGGGCCTCGCGTACCTGCATGCACTGGGCATGGTCCACCGTGACATCAAGTGCGGCAACATCCTCCTGACTGAGTCGGGGGAGGTGAAATTGGCGGACTTTGGGGTGGCAGCGCAGCTCACAAGCACGCTCTCAAAACGAAATACCTTCATCGGCACCCCCCACTGGATGGCGCCAGAAGTGATCCAACACAGCCGGTATGACGGAAAGGTGGGAAGCCTGGGTAGCCTCGGGAGACTGGACTCTTGCCAATCTGACCTTTGTAATGTGCCATCCTTGGCTGTGCAACACCATCAGGATTGCAAATCGATTTCTATGTGTTTTGACTTCATCTGTACCACACAGAGAGCATCTTCGTGCACGTACAGGGCAATGATAATGCATCGGATATGGGGTGCAGAGGAATTGCTACCAAAATATCCATGAGAGGCAAGTTGCATGGCAAGCTGTGCATCCAAGGGGTTGGTTGGTTGTTGATGGACTTACAGCCTGGTTGTGCTTTCTGTGACATCCATGCTGCTTTTATTGTGGCAGTGTTTTGAGCTAATTCATGCATCAAGGAGTGAAATGTGGAGCCGGTGGAGTGCCAGCAGCAGGAAATGTTGCTTGTTTGTGCCATGCTAGCTGCTCTCCGCATAAGTGTACAAACTGGGAACCTGACCTTGCATTTTTTGTGTTTACTTCCAATGTACGGAATCAAGGGAATAAGATTGCCTGGGAGGTTGCTCTTGTGTCAATACTTGTTGCTTCTTCTTGAAAATCGAACCGAGGCACACATCATAAGGTTATTCAATGCTGTCCAGTAATCGTAGAGGATAGACAAACACCACTAATATGACAGGATTTTGAGCCAAAATCTTGGGGTGCTGGAACCAAGAAGTCATGAATTCTGCGGCATCATCAGCAAATGTGCTTCCCATTATGTAGTATGCTCGCTTTGGAGATGTACGCTGCTATGCTGGCAAGAAGCATTGTATTTATTGGTGCAGAACTGATGTGATGTTGCGCTGGGCAGCTCCAAATATGCCGTCTGACAGATTAACAACACTGTGGTTCAGGTTGACGTATGGGCTTTGGGGATCAGCGCTGTGGAGATGGCGGAAATAACCCCCCCACGCTTTAACGTGCACCCCATGAGGGTCATCTTCATGATATCCAAGGAGCCCTCTCCAGAGCTTGAGAACAAGAGCAAGTGGTCAGGGACCTTTAATGACTTCATTGCGCAAGCACTGCAAAAGGTGAACTGCTGTTCTCAGTTGTGCTCCCTCCTGCAGCTTTCTGCGATTGAGCTTGATGGGCAAAATGTGTTGTTCACGTGTTGCTCCTGCTGTCAAAAATATGTGATGCCTCTTTGCAGTCACCTTGTGCATATTTTATTACCAACCCAGAATAACAACTGCAGTTCGACAAGTGAGATCTTGATGAATCATGTGACCTCAAATTTGCTGGCTATTGCAACACCAGAAATCATGCACAGAAGTGCCAAAGGTAGCCATGCATGCTTACGTGCAGCACCTCAGCAATCTTGTTTTCATGAATTCGCAAAGTTCAATCGTGTATGGCTTGCATATCTGCCTCATGGATGTGTGAATAAGCATCCAATGCATCGAACCAAAATGCTGTGCATCGTACTTCAGGCCATCGACTGTACTTTAGATTGTTGTGTTTTACTGCACACTGTATGAGTTGCATTTGTCCAGGAGTTGATGAAGTTTTGGCCATTTGGTGTGCAAGCAGGATCCCAACCGGAGGCCTTCCGCAAAGTTTTTGCAGCAGCACCGGTTTGTGGTGCGCCCCCCTGCAAGCTCTAAGGTCGACTTGCTGCCCATGGTCAAACAGTGCCAGGAGATTTTTCTGTCAAAACTGCCAGTGGCTGGCGACACACTGGAGCTGCAAAGCACACAGCTGTCCCTCAACACAGGGACCCTCAAGGCGTCAACTGTGAGGCAGACTTGGAAGAATGGTGCGTGCACCTGCGAGTGAACTTTGGAGAGTTTTTTTGTTTTTTCAGCCTTGTTGTTGTCCTTCTGCTGGCTGCTTTCCTTCATGGCTCACAAGGGGAGCAGATCGTGTCCATTCAACGGGGTAAAGATCCCAGCAGAGAATGGATGGGGCATAGCAGTATGGAAAGCATGTTTTTTCTTGTAGCACTGTCGGTAGGGAGTTTTGCATTGCATGTTGTGCTGTGCTGCGTTTTGCGCGTGTTATATTGGTGCTATGTTGTGTTGGAGCTATGTCTTCTGTCCTGCCCATGCTTCTGATTGTTTGATGCTCAAATCAAATTTGCCTTTCTTTCCTTCTGTGGCCAGAGTCTAGCCCTTCGTGCCATGTTGCTACAGGTGGTGATGACGTTTGGTTTGCTTGCATTGCTGTAGTGGTGCAGTGCTGCCCTTGCATGTGCGGGACGACATTAGACAGATTTTGCAGCCACACAGTCTGCTCCTAGAATGTGCGTGAAAGGTTTAGATATGAAATCGAACAGAAGCAAAAGGAATGGAAAGTGGCTCGCGCATCCAGCAATGTATTCCATTCGTGCTGCCGGCTTTGATGGCCAGGGAATCTCAGAATAACCTTATCGACAGGATCTTTGACAGGCAAACAGCCTGTGATCGTTCTTTTGGAGGACGTTGATCATGCGCCATTGTTCTTGCAGAGCCGACGGGAACAGTTGCATTGGGGGCAACGCCTCGCCGACCGTCTCAGCAAGATGGCGGTGACGACACAGTGGCATACTCGGGGTGAGCCAGTGCACATTGCATTTCCATTTAATACGCAGTCTGTTGTATTGGTGATGAATTGCTGACTGATTGAACAATTCATAACTGATCACAGGTGTATGCCAGAATGCGATGAAACTCAACTATTGCACCTGGGAGGCAGCAAGGGGCATAGCCCATTCCCATGTCACTTGAAAAATGATTGTTCACCTCCCTCAATATGCATATCCACGAGGGGCGTGGATAGGAGTGGTAGTGATAAAAAAGCAGGCATTGCCACATAGCTTTGACACGATCCACTGCAGTCTGTGTGCTGATTGATCAGCGCAGCTGATCCTTTGCTTCCGGGACATCAGTTTCAATGCTTCTTGGTCTCATTGGAAGGCCGGCTCTCGGAACTTTCTAGTGTTACTGTAAGGTACGTGTTTTACATTCCATGCACCAGTTCGAGTCCACGATTCCTAACGGATGATGTGTTCGCCAGGAGCGTTGTCATCAGCGGCCATAATAGCTTTGATGGCCAATCGACACACAGACGGACGGACACCATGGACACCACAGTGTTCGACACCCTTGGTGCGATTTGGATCAAACATTGGAGCCGAATATGATCCACCCAGAATGAACAATTGTGTGCATGACTATGTTCAAACCTGGGTGCCCATTTTGCCTTCTGGCATTGCCAGCCTGTACATCGCCAATAGTGCACACCACAGGCACAAGTCAGATCGAACTTTCAACTGCCAACAGAATGTGTCCCAGAACAGTTCAGTGCTTGCGGTTGAGTTCAGCTTTGTGATGATGCCTTACAACCCACAGGCTGAGGCAGGCACCACCAATGTCCCCATTGACTGCCCCCGGAATGAGGCAAAATCATGTTGGCGTGCAGTTGTATCTGTGCTGCTGGTGTTATTCTGATTAACCTTGGATATAACAAACGACTTTTCGTTTTGAGAGTGAAAATGTTGCGTGAGAGAGTGATGTATCCCTGTCCTATGCTTAGCACGGGACTGCCTGCAAGCCTGATAGATTTTCAACTGGTGCTGAGCTTAAACACAGTAATATCCCCGCTGCCCGTGGCAGCAACTGCATATCCATGTTTTTGTTCCTAATTAAATGCATCTCACTTGGGAGCCAAGGCGCATTTCCTGTCCTAACGGAAGAGATGTGCCCTTGTGCTGTCATGGTATGTGTTGTTGCTGTTGTTGGCCAGATTGCATGGAATGTCAACGCCAGAGCACGTCCTGCCTCTGCCCAGTCCTTGTGGATCTCCTCATGAATCAGCGATCTCTAGATTCATCGCCTCCATGTTTTTGTTCATGAATCAACGATCTCTAGATTCATCCCCTCCATGTTTTTGTTCCTAATTAAATGCATCCCACTTGAGAGCCCAGGGGCAGTTCTTGTCCTAACGGGAGAGATGCGCCCTTATGCTATCATGGTATGTGTTGTTGCTGTTGTTGCCATATTGCATGGAATTCGACACCAGAAAACGTCCTGCCTCTGCCCTGTGCTTGCGGATCTGCTCATGAATCAGCGATCTTCAGATTCATCCCCTTCATGCAATCTGTTTGTGTGCTTTAGGGACGAGTGGGCGCATGGACAGCTTTGTTGCCAGCACCAGAGATGAGGGGGGCGATGGGGAGTACCTTGCAGCAGTCAAGGCAATGGAGGCTGAGAGCAGAGGGGGACAATCTCGAGGACCCTCTGGTCAGGTGAGCAGTGATGACATGATTGCAGGCATCCAACCGTGCAGCAGGTGGGAGTGGATTGACGGTGGCGCATGCCTCTACTGAATCCATATGGTCAGACATGGTCACAACAGCACGTTCTACTTGGTGTGCAGTCACCCTAGCCTCATTTCAAGTGTCCTTCACCAAGGCCAATCGTTTGGCCCTGTTCTCCTACTTTCAAGATGGCATCAACCCAAAGTTAGCATGCTTGTTTACGTGTGTTCTCAAACCGCTTGATTCCTAAGTGTCGCAACATGACAAAGCACAACCATTGCACAAGCAAAGGTGATGGTGGGCATGATTCAATCTTCAGCGATTTGCAATCTCACCTCCATAATAGGTCAACCATGGATTTGTGTCTTTCTGCATAACATTCTTGTACACACCTTGCAACGGCACTGAAGTTTGACAAAATCAGTCCACATGTTCGTATGGGCAATTGATAAAGTTCTGGTCAGATTTTGGCATTCTTGTCAGGGACGATTGTCCACTGGCCCATAGTGTTGGACATGTAGAGTGCGCAATCGCTTGCGACGGCACATATGGATCTAGACTTGCTGGTTTTGTACCTGAGCCCCATATAGCCAGAGCTGCCTCATTGGGTGACAATGGACTGTGGTGCCATTGCGCTGTGGTAGCGCATGATTGATGTTCTGCCAAGGAAGATATCTGTAGTTTCACAGGAACTGTCCTCACATTATAAGATATTTATAGACTCTTACAACACTGCACAAACGTTTGACCTGACATGATTTCAGTCTGGAAACATCGCGCAGCAAGCCCAAGCCCTTGCACCTTGCAGGCGTTGGTGGGTGTAGCAACAGCCAATAGTAGTTTATCACCCATGACCACAGCTCCCAACGAATGTAAGGTGTTCTGCAGCCTCAGATCGCAACAGCAAAGTAACGAGCAGCTCGAGTGGGAAGGATGCAAGCGGTTAGAAGCAACTGTAAGTGTCAGACTGAAGCAACCTGGTGCGCCCACATAGAAGCCCACTTGGTTCTCAAACCTTGCTTAGGCTGTTTGCCTAACCTTGTTAGACATGGGCTCACTGGGTTTGCTGTTTCCCATGACAAAGGCGTCGCCGTCAACCTCCCAGGCATATGCAAGGAACCGTGTGAAGGAGAAGCTGTGGGCCGTGCACAATGGCGGCTCCATTATTCCCATGCCATTTTTGTCCGCCAGGCATGCTGCCCCCTTGGGGCTGCTGGACTCGTCGGGGCCGTCACAGAGGCCGAGTCGGGGTGAGTGACAGTGGTGAAAAGTTGCAGCCCAAAATGAACTTGGAACTTGGTGAATGCAAGTGTGCGGATCTGAAGATTAGAGCGTTAGACAATGCTGGTGGCCTTGGGGCCTCTGCTGCAGCTCGGCGTCGATGGCGTCACGCTGTGCGTGGCGTTGCCACGACATGATGTCGACCTTGGCATCAGGTCATGCAGTGCTTGGAACAGCGGGACTTTCACGATGATGATGATGTGTGTTGGCATGATGAACAATGGGATTGCCACTCTTTCTGATTCGGAAGTGACTTGGAATTCGAGCACATTGTCAAAGTGGATTGAGATCGTCAGCAAACAATGTATTGCAATCTTATTCGACTATTTCACAGCTCATATGCTGTGATTCGACACCGATTTAGTGCGCTCAAAGGACCTCACGTGTGGTGTGAATCGGCTTGTGAAATAGCGGTATAATTGCACTTACAGGATGGCCAATATTGTAAAAAAGGTAACACATGCCGTCAATGTGATGCGGTCCTTAGTGTAGTCCTCACACAACGAATACAGGAGTTTTAGCAATCTAACATGAATAGGCGCGCAATTAGAATACGAGAATGGCAAATTTCGCCAGGGAGGCAAGGCTAAAAATTTCGCGCTGTAACCCATGCAGGCGGCCTCAGGCCTGAAGACGAAGAACTGCTGATATCTTTGGCGAGGGAGAGCCTGCCTGGCGACAAGCTGCCGGACTCGTTAGTCCAACGGTAAGCCCAGAGGCGACCGTTGGCCACCACCAATTGGCGCAGAATCTTTGGTACAGAATCTTAATTGCCACAGAGTCCCATGATGCTGGTATGTAGACACGATGTGAATGCTGTTGGCGACACTTTCCAGTCAAGAGTGGAGACATTGCGTCATCTCAGTACGCTCTGCGCCACTCGGACGCTGGGGAGGGGAAGGTGTCTGAGCTTGGCGTCAAAATGACGCTAACTGTACCATATTCGACACAGTGTCTTCCCCAACAGCACTCCAACCATCCATTGTGCGTCAACCATATTTTGATTGGCAATTACGTATAGCGCGTGTGTCAGTCAGCAACGGTATTCTGCGACCCTGTCATAGCACTTCTGTGGAAGAAAGAGGTACAAGGCCAAGTACTGCACAGTACTTTGTTGTACCGCTTTAGGGAAAAACGTTTTTCTTGGCCACCGAATGCGACTGCGACGAAGTTGCTGTGACCGCGGCAGGGTTTCCGGCAGCCTCGTGCTCCAGAATCTGCTGCGCACGCTGTCGTACCATCAGCGCTGCCTGAACATCCTGCCCATGGACAAGGAAGCCGCGAAGAAGACGCGCAGGGTGGTGAGCCAGCTGGCGGAGGTGCTGCGTACGATCCTGTGCCTGTGAGGGGTTGAGCCCGTCGTTTGCGAAAGCAGCCTTTTCCACCACGTTTGAGACGCTCTGCCGTCGCCGTCTTGAGAGTGGGGGCGTGGGACGCCGTGGAGGAGGGGTGAAAAGTCTTGGGCCGGGGAGCGGGGGGAAAATGAGGAAGGGGTTATTTAATGTTGGGAAGGGTGGGAGGCTGGGCTGCAGAGTTGTGAGGGCATCTCCATTTAATTGTTTCCTTGCTCGCGGAGGCAGTCGCTCGATTCCCACTTGCGCCCTCCGGCCTTCATCCCGAATTCACCCACCGTGACATCTTCAACCCTTCGGCATCTGATGCGGAAGGGTTGAATATACCAAGGTACCCACCATCACGTCTCCCCAGGCTGTGCTTCTTTCCCTGCCCCGCCGCTGCTCATATGCCCATGCGGTCTCTCTGGGCACAGGCGTTCTCGCAAGACCTTGTCCATCTTTGTATGCTCAATTTCCTGCGTTCGTAGAACTCCACATCGTGTTTATCGGGAACTTGCAGGCCCATATGCTTGCAGTCTGCGGAGGCTGACCTACGTGTGTTGCCCTTTCTTCTCCTGCACAACAACGCCCACAACCGCAAAGCCTCCGCCCCGCCTTACCCCACCACCACCACATCCTTGTTGCCCCCAACAACGGCTCGAAGTTCCAGGCGCAGCGCGACCAACGCAATCCACAATAATTGGCATGCACCCGTGGTAAGTTGTGCAAAACAAGATCAGATAAATTACCAGAAAGTCATCAGAAAATCGAAGACAGCGGGTCGCATCGTATGGTTCTCCGACTGGCGGCCCATACCACACGATTGCGCAGACCCAGCTGGCGAGGGTGTCGCTCCGCCTGTCCGAACCCTGAAAACTACAAACAGAAGCTTTGCAAAATGCCGACATCTTCAGCCCGAAGCTCTCCGCCGTCGTTCAACCAACCTGTCGTTGCATCAAATCCGGGGCCATCCCGCCAAGAGCTGATGTGCTTATTGAATGCGCTGCGGCGAGCACAGCCCGCTCACCCACAATCGGCAATTTCACTAAAGATCATTAAAAATCATTCCCGTCGGGCGCCAGCCACAGCCCGCAGCAAGACACCTTCCAAAACTTCCTGCTTCCAATCCCCTCCAGCCCCACCCAACAACCGCTTCGACTCCGCCTCCCTGCGAGGCACCGAATTCGACGACATGACTAACACTAAGACGACACGCCAACGACTCCCATCTAGCGCGGCGGCCCCCCAAAATTCGAACGGCCGTGCTCACAGCAGCCCCAAGCACCTCCTGGCGCAGCCCAATCGAGCTCTTTGCCAATCCCACTTGAAAAGTGTCAACGATGCCTGTGAAATCTTGAAGGCGACGACGGGCGAGGGCGCTAGACAATCAACAGCGGACCTGACCTCTCCAATGGGCGGTGGAGTGGTTCCGTAATTTGTTCACCCCCGCCCAGACGCAGCCATCGCAAGGTCCCGGGTCCTTGGGCTTCCGTCGGGTTTTCAATCCCGCCTGCGATTCGAATTTCGGGCAGGCTCGGAGGCTCTATCGGCATGAAATTAGTCCCTCTGTCCATATTGTGACTGTGGATCCTTGCTTCGACAACCTAAGCTACTGACCCACTGACACGCGTTGGCCTTGTCAGCAGAAGAAGCAGGGATCTTCAAGACATAGAAGTGGGGATCAATACATTCCCGGTTCGCTCGCGTTTCCAGCTTCGAAGCAGCCACTGTCACCGCCGCTTCAAGCTGAGCACAGCGTTGAAGACGGTCTTGACGACGGGAGTGAGGCGCGTTCTGTTGTACTGGTCGCCGCACTGCCGGATGGCCTCGGCCTGGTGCAGTCGTCGACAGATGTGGTCAACATCACGGCAGCAATGCCAAAATGTCAGCGATGTCGCCATCATCGAGAACGTCATGGGGCGCTGGCGAAAAACATCACCACTACTGGGTCATAACGACAAGATCTGGTTCACTTTAAGCGGTTTGCACAATCGGTGCACGCTTCCTTTCCAGCGCTCCACCATGATTTGAACAGGGCATGAACAGCGAGAGTTGGTGGCCAATTGCGGCAAGAATGCATTTTTCCAGTGGCACTACAACGTCATCAACATAACGCTGCCGGCGTGGCGCAGTCATCAGATGACAGTGAAAGCCTCCGCTAGAAAAGAAAACGCCCTTCTGCTGCTGCCAAAAAGACGAATGCGCTCTCCTGCTGCACTTGCAGCCATCTGCCTCTTCTTCTGTTCTTCTGTTCATCTGCCTCCATCATCTCTTCTTCTGTGGCCATGGATTAGAGTATCGCAACATGTTTGGTCGCGGGGGGAACCCCGCTGTCACCTGCTTTCCTTTCGTCAGCAGGCAATCTTCACGAAATTATCCGCGCTCAAACTTCACACAGTGCCAAAGCGCCTAAAATGCTTATCTGTACAGTTCCATGTTCAAGAACAGGTGCAGAGAAGCCCCAGCTCGTGTTGCTATGAACAACAAATAAAAAATACAAACAGCAATGTTACAGCTCTCTTGGTACACCCTACCACCTGTGCAGGTACCTCGTCACCTGTATAGTGTTTGAACCTCATACACAATTTCACCTCATTAGGATACCATAAGAAACATTTATTGCACATGGCCATCGCAACATCGTACATGATAATACGGTACGGGACATTGTTGAGACAACTGCGCCACCCTTCCTGCAGCCCAGCGCCTAAAGCTGCGGAGTAAGCACTATTCGGGAAACCGCAATACAAGACTTAGCACCTCATAGTAGTTTGTTGCAGCTCTCCCTTTGCAAGAATGTTGTCATTCAAACAACAATAATGACCCATTAGATAATCAAGTGGCGAAAATTGCATCATGCACATGCGTCCGCCAAGCACGTCGCCCAAAACGCGCTCCACCTGCGTGGGGTAGGGGTGGATGACGCTCGCCAGGGCCCCCAGGCCCATGCCCGCCTGCATGGCCACCGTGACCTCCGAGATCATGTTGCCGGCGTCCGCGGCCACGACGGTGGCGCCCAAGATCTGGTCCGAGCCCTCCTTGGTCAGGACGGTTACGTAACCCTCGTCGGCGCCATCCAGGATGGCGCGATCCACGTCGGCCAGGTCCCGCCTGAACTTCTGGTACCGCACACCGGCCGCGTCCAACTCGTGCTCGTACTTCCCTGCAACAGGAGACAGTCGTACCGTTCTGGGAAGAAAACGGTGTAATCAAGCACCACAAATTACTACTTCCTCTGTCCAAGATTAATTGTCCTCTATGACTTTGGGGCATTACTTCTCCATCGCACCGACATCAATTTTCAACAAATATTCACCCAAAGTTGTGCTCGGAATATACTGTCATACTTTCAATTCCATCAATCCATTAAGTATTGAGGATTTGGCAGTACTTTGTATTGAGGGTCTTTCCCCAAGTAAACTTCGGTATTTGGGGTCAGACATGACCAAAATTTACCTTTCGTCTAACGCTCAAAGGCGTCGTTTCTCTTTTTTATTCTTAAAAATTGGTAGCCAAGGGCTTTAGACCCCAATCTTCCCGATTTTAAACTTGTTTTGTAACTTTGAGGCTGGCTCTGTAACAATTTTTGTCTTTCAAATAGAGAACTATTAACGTTGTACAGGGGAAGTATTTTTTTACCGCTTCTCCCCAAACCAATATTACAAGTCATTCGTGGCTCATTCCCACCAATGATCGACAATTACTACCCTGTCAGTTTCTTTTCGACCCTTTTTCTTGTGATTAATTAGACCCCCAATTTCCGAAAGCGACCACGCACTGCATTTTGCGACTTATGACAAGTGACTGGCACAATTCCATAGCACTATCTACCCGTAATCGAACATTAAATGTGCGCGTATTTAAGTCCATCTTACGACAAATCTGCGTGACTTTTGCTCATTATTCATCTGGAACTGTGACAATAGGATTTCAGCGAACCTGCATGCCTGGGCGTCCACCTCGTGGATCTGCGCCACACTCAGCCGAGAGTGTGCCAAGGACTTTTTGTTGCATGGCCAAGGATCTTCGCTACCTTTTGTTCCCAGTCACTGGAGAGCCCCCACAACCAGAAAAGGCAAACCCGCAAGTCTACAACCCAGTCCTGGGGGCATTGCCATTCAACCAGTACCAAACAGCATGAATGCCTGATGGTTGTCTAATTACGAGTCGCACAAAAATACACCACCACTTGCCTAACTGAAGTGTCAAAATTCACATGCAGGGATATGGATCAAACGTCACAGCTTCAATTGGAACAACGCCCAAATATGAGCGCAGCAAGTGTGCAGTTTAAACCCGCTTAGTCGGCCGTGGTCGCGCAGCCAAGGCCACAGGCGCGTCCCCACCCACTAGGCTTGTCTGATTCCAGTCATTTCTGGCTATGAAGGTCCTGAAGGGGTCACCAACGTCATGAAGGGTGTTATCCCTCATGCCGGCCCTCTTCAAGAGGGCACTATAAAACCCCTGAGGCCTCAAACAACGTAAATGACCTAATATACCTAAATGACCTTCACGGCCTCCATGCCCAGCAACATTGAACTCCGCCACCCACCGACGTGTGCGATCTCCGGCTCGGTGTAGGTGCACCACGGGATGAGCAGCGAGGACATCTTGCCCCGCCCGAAGAACAGCGCGTTCCGGACGACAGTCCTGGCCATGGAGTCGCCCACGTGGGTGAACCTGTAGAGCGTGCAGACGTCGCCCGCGGCGAAGACGCGCTTGTTGGTGGTCTGGAGGAAGTCGTTCACCTCGATGCCGGTGCGCTTGTCGTACTTGATGCCTGGGGGGGGGGGGCGAAAGAGGCACTTGTCACGACGGCAGCGACCCTTCGAAACCGCTTTCAACGGGACAAAGCGGTGCCTGTGCACCTTGCTTCAGAAAGTTTGGAGTTTCAACCCGTTGAAGGTGGGGTTCACTTGTACGGGGTTCACTGGGGGGCTACTTGTATGGTGCAGTCCGCGATTGTCCTTTCCGTGCTATTGTCGCTAAAGCAGCGTCACAGCGACATAGGCTGGGACATCCAAGATGTTGTATGTCCTGCGTCCAGTCATTTATCTGCTCAGCGCGGTGGACAAGTGGTGCAAGGTTCGGTGCTTTGTACATGAATGCTTTATAGTGCTGCGTTGTGCCCCTTCTTCCTGAAAGGGGTTTCCGCCTGTGTGGTCAGACATTGCCGCGTGATTGACGCCTTGAAACCGGTGGATCTCGTGCAGGTGGAGAATCGGCCATTTTCCGCGATGGGCTGCGTAATTGCAAAGTTCAAAAGCTGCGCAAACGGCCTATTAGCAATATAGGTATTAATGGCAATTCTAGTTCTGAGGTCTGACTATGCGCAATGAAAACTATTATTATCACGATAGTGCGCGCCAAATTCCCAGCGAAGCGCCACCCAGCGCACGCAACAACAGGAAAAAGGAACACAAAAGAAAACAACTCGGGCATTTTCATAAGGAGAGAAAAAGTGCAAAGGAAACACTGAACTGAGAGCCCGTGAGTCACCTGCCACCTCGAGGCCCATGCCCTCCACATTGGGGACCCTTCCAGTGGCCACAAGGACGGCATCCACAACCAGCGTCTCGGCGCTGCCCTTGTAGTCCAGGCTCATGGTGATCTCCCCAGATTCCAATCGAGACACCTCCTGGATGCCCACCGGCAGCTTGAACTTCACACCATCTGCCTCAACCTGCCTCCACCAGATTCTGTGGCCAATTAGGTTTGTCGCACAAGGTGATAGAATGGTGCAGCAGGTGTAATCTATCACACATAAGGTATTACACCTATTGTATGATTGTGTGACACCTGTTGCACTACATCATTTGTTTTGCCCACAGACAAAACAAATGGTGCAGTAAGTATGGTGAATGGGTATCGTGGGTTTAAAAGGCGAATAGCAAAAGGGGCAAAGGGTAAATGGTACTGTGGTTAGGGGTGAATGGTACAATAGGTATAACAGCACAACAAATGGTACACATGGTGCAATAGGTATGTTAATGGTGCAGCGGGTGCAACATGCTTGGATGGTGGTGAGCCGGGGCACTGGAAAGGAGAATGTATTACTCCCCGTTCTTGTTTGCTGAATTTCGGTTCTTGTTCCACTGACAAGGCCAGTCCCGGTGCGTGGATCAGTAGTTGGGGTTTAGGGTGTCCGAAAACAAGAACCGAAATTCAGCAAACAAGAACGGGGAGTAATTTTATGCCATTGGAAAGCATTGGGAACAGGCGCCAGCGCCAGCGCATGCCGTGTCAGCCGCCCTTCATATCCACCAGCACCTTCGTTCAGAGGAGCCGAAAAGGGCCTGTTGACATGAACAGTGGCTGGCACAGCCCATCAGGTGCATCTTCGGTGCTTTACCAAGATTCGAACAGAAAATGAATAAGAATTCTCCAAACAGCAATCAGGGAGGACTGCCACTGAGTCACCCCACCTGCTTGAGGACGATGTCAGCAGCATCTCGCTCTTCTTTTAGAAGAACACGATCGGCGATGTCGAGGACCGTCACTTCACTTCCGAAACGGCACATCGCCTGTGCGAGCTCCATCCCTGCAATGCAAAATTCGCTTTGACTGCATGGGCATATGGAAGCAAGCACTGCCCATTACTCCAAGGTGCAAGATGGGTGACTCATGGACCACACCACATAGTGAGATTCAGATTCCATCTGCCACCTGGGAGCGCGCCACATCCGCGCAGCCTCATTGCACAAGGGTCAGGCACTCTTGAGACAACAGCTGCCAGCAGACTGTGGAGATCGTCTTTTAGATCTGGGACTGGACATAATCCGCCCACTGCGGACCCCTCAGCGAGCGTGGCAGGCGCTGGCAACACATGGAGGTGCAAAATGGATAAGCTGCCTCTTACATTAGCTGCCTGCCTGCAGGCGCCGTGACATTGCAGCAATGCTCACCGATGGGCCCTCCACCGATGACTGCCAGCCGGGGGGGCAGCTCCGTCAAATTGAAGAGACTCGCATTTGTGAGGTAAGGGACGTCCTTCAAGCCCTGCAAGCATTCACAAAGGGTGCCAACTAGCCATGACAACAGCATCAAATGATGGCAACCTGATGCCCTCACACCTGCTGGATGGTGTTGGGGGGACATTCGTCTTTTGATGTGGAAGCATGGGATATGTTGAATTTGACCAATTCATTTGGCACAGCCAGGTATTCTGTTTTGGCAACATAAGATTCCCATGCCTTTCACAGAAAGGGTGGATATCACAAATGAGAACAAATGCACACACAAAGAATACAAATTAAACGACACAAAATGGTGCAAACAATAAAACGAGTCCAGCCATTTCAGGATTCTTCTTGAGCCAGTCATCTGGACGGAAGCGACAAGTGCACAACCACCATAAGTTGGCCAGGCCCTCACCTGCGGTAATGCAGGGAGTGACTTGGGGCGGCTTGGCCCAGCACTGCTACACTAATCTGACTTTCCCTGGCCTGAGGCAGGCGACAGCTACCGCAGCGTGCTAGGTCTATTCCCCACAGCACGGTGCCAGCCGGAATAGGGCTCATTCGAGGGACACCAGTGCATCTCAACATGGCAAGGGCAACTGGGCAATTGTTTGCATCCAAGGCTGGGTGGCAATGGATCTCAGGAGCAAGTGATGCCCGGGGCGCCCCTCCTGAGAAGATCTTTTGCTCTCGTTCATGCCGCACAGGCGATGCACAAGGTGCTGAAGCCAAGCATAAAGATAAACCAGAGATGGGGGACGCCCGTGATATGCTGCACTGCTCCTACAACGGACTGCACCAAGTGGAGGCCCACACCCCATTAGGACTAGCCATTGTACTTTGTTCTATCTCGGTAGGCGATACCTGTAGACTACTACTAGAGCATTGAACTGTAAAGCAGTTACCAGACTAAGCGGACTATGAGCAAACTGCAGAAATGTTGGCTTCGTTAATTTAATTCCCACTCCCTTTGTCGACTCCCAGAAGTGCTTCGAAATTCGCATTCACATTTTTCCCTGTACGTGATCTGTGCCATTGGCTCTCGAACTGATAGATGGATAAACAGACGGAAACAAGCAGCACCTGCATGAAGAACAAAGTGAAACTGACGACATGTGTTTTTGGCATCTGACCTCTCAAGGGTGCTGTTGAATATGGCATGTGGTCAACAAAAGGATGGCGCAGAGTCAATGGTTACCTTGATTGGCGGAACGGCTGCCCTGCCACCAGTTGCCACAACAGCGGCGGAGAACTTCAGCGTCTTGCCATTGACTTCCAACGACTCAGGCCCATTGAACTTGGCTCGACCCTTTCAGAAACAAATGGCTGTCAAACAAAGGCAAACTCAGAACCGAAACGAAATGGAAGCACAGCCAACTGTGATGACCAACCCGGGGCCCACATCCTGTCACACGGAGCACTATTGTCCATACAAGCGCAGAGCAATATGCACAAGCCAGTCACATTCGCGGTCATTATTCAGATGGGTGTGACATCATTGTGTGAACTGCGGTGAAAGCGCACATTATGCAAATCAACAATCGTCACCAATGAAGCCCTTGAAACTTGCAGGTATGCACAGGAACATCCAATCAATGAGCAGCGCTTGGTGAAGGTTTCGCAGCCGCACAGCAAACCTGGAAGACGTCGACTCCCAGGGACGTGAAGCGCTCCGCAGAGTCGTTCTTGCTGATCTGGGCACGTAACCGACGCATGCGTTGCATGACCTTCCCAAAGTTTGCTCGGACCGTGCCATCAATTTCCACGCCGAAAGCCTCGCTGCAACGAACCTGTACAATCGAGGAAAAGAGGCATCAGCTGGTGTCCTCACACTGAGAAACTCTTACCACTTTGCACGGTTCCACGCTGCAATTCTTAAGCGGGGGTTTTGCAACATGTCTCGTCCTTCTTCAGTCTATTCTGTGACAAAACAACCTCGGTTGCATCGTGCACAGCTGGATAAACCTCCAGGCAGAATGAATTGTCTTGTGGACAGTCCCCGCACACATCCCAGCCCTGCACACATTCCAGCCCCGCCCACAGGCGTCCCACAAACACAGTCTCTGTTCCTCATCACGTCATGTTTTGTGACTTTCATGTGGCGATCAGAGTTTTCTTTCGGGCATTTGGAGATTCTTAGTTCACAAAACCGTGTCTCGTTTCATGTTTGGGCAGAGGAACCTTGCTGCACAGCATGACAGCCCTTTTGTCAAGACTGGTCGTGCATTAACTCGATATCCAGCCCCTCCAGGGGCTAATACTGCTACACAGCCTGACAGCTGACTTGCTCACACGACGCAGTGACTTCATGCCAAGGATGTAAGGTCCTTGCTGAAACTGTTGGCACCTTCAATTTTGGGTTTTGGTGTTCAGGGCTCACCATGAACTAAGGAGGGCACAACTCTCAGCACAGAGACCACGAATTGCGCAAGAAGAACACAGCACCAGTTGGATGCCTTTCACCAGCGACCAAACTGTCATCCACCTTAGGAAAAGGCACTTCTAACCATGCTCCATTTGGCCTTGTTGGCTTCGGCTTGTATGCCATGGAGCTGGCTCTCGCAATGCGAGTTCTGTGCGTAGTCATAATCTTGAAGGATTATATTGCAATAATGTATGGCAATGGTACCATAATGAGCATGACACTCCGGCCTGGGTCCATTGCCTGTTAATGCTGCAAAGTACAGCAAAGGGCAGCACCTTTCCGATTCTGATACTTGAGATTGTGACAACACAGGAAACTACCTGTTTATGTTGGAGATGGCTGGGAAATACACATGTTGGCAAATAGTTTATTGGGTAAGAGATGGCAAAAATAATTACTGGAGGGGTCTGCTTCATCTGCACTGAGTAGATGTTTTGGATGAACTTTGTGGATGCCTTGGGCTGCTTGTTCCCCGTCCCTTGGAGAGATATTCGCACTAATGAGACAAACACACAAACTGGAACACCATATCATAAGTTGCCACAGAATTGCACAGAACTCCTGAAAGCAGAGTTGCATCCTAATACAATGCAACCCAAAATCCCATCTCCACAGGCCCAAACCTGAACGGCACCATTGCATCACCTGTGCCACTCAAAGCGTACCCACACGTGGCTGGGTGGCAGGCACCAGGGAGCTTACCTCATGGACAGCCTTTGCACAGCGGATCAAGGCCTTTGAAGGGACACAGCCCACATTCAGGCAGTCGCCACCCAGGAGGCTCTCCTCTATCAGCGCCACGCGGCCCCCAACGCCGGCAGCACCCGCCGCGCTCACAAGGCCTGATGCACCTGCACCCACCACAACAAGGTTGTACCTGCAGACACAGTGCAAAAGCATAATAAACAGTTGTGGAAGCAAGGCAGAGGCATGCTGCATGTCCGCTGATCATGATCCCAGAGACAGGATTCCAACTTTGACGATCTTTCTTGGATTCAGTACTGGCCCAGGCAAAATGTCTTGAACTGTGTTCTCAGCTGCACATGGATTAAAGTAAAGTCTCCACGAGCAGAAGGAACAGCATGCAGCAAGAAACTTAGACCGCAATAGATGCGTACTTAACAAAAAAAGTCAACCTGGCACAAATTGCCTCTACCAGTGTGTTGCCACAGCTGAGCAACGTCATATGTTGAATGCATGCACTACACAGGCCAACAATGCTAAGGGGCATCCTGGCCCAACGGAAAGGTGGATATTTCCCTGGATGCACCCCAGCAAACTGACCATCAAGATTGCACTCTTGGAAATCGCAGGCAGTCTTGTGTGTGCAGGGCAGTACTTTGTTATTTTTGCCAGATATAGCAAGAGCATTCACATCAGGAGAGCTGGCCCCTTGGCACTGACATGCCATCAGCGGCTGCAGCTTGTCATCCCCAGATTATCGCAGTGGACTGCAATCTGGGGCATACTCAGGTCAATGGCTGGACAGGAATGGATGTTGTAAATATGCCAGATCGTGCCACAACACAGCTCTGCCCTTGCACCCTCCAGTCAACAAATAACACCTGATGATTCACGTGCTCATTCCTTCATGCCCATCCAATTTGGGGCTTCTTGACCATGATTGCAAAGCCCTCATGTGCTATTTGCATTAGGAAGCTGTCTGATCGTTTGGGGTTCACAGAAGGCACCCACAATGACCATATGGACGTCGCACAGTTCTGTGTAGGGAACTTTTCTGTTGCTGAACTGATTAATTTCAGCAACACAAATGGCCATGGCTTTGTTCCTTTCCATGCACCCAAGCCGCAAGTACGTCTGGTGCCGCTGCTCAGATTAATTTCAGCAACATGAAATTGTGATGGCTCTGTCCCTTTCCATGCACCCCAAGGGCAAATACGTCTAGTGTTGCCATTCAGATTATCTTCAGCAACGTGACATTGTCTTGGCTTTGTCCCTTCCCATGCACTCCAACTGCAAATACGTCCAGTGTTCTCGCTCAGCCTTGGCCCCCATGCTGCCGAGTGCGGGCATGCATTCGTCCTTTTGTCCATTTCGTTCCTTCCGTTTCGTTCTTCGATTTTCGTTCAGAAAATGCAGACACGCCAAAGGAGCTGCAGGACGGGGATGGAACGGCCCATCACTTCACCATTGCGCCCACTGCGCCGTTCAGCTCACCTCGGCGCCGGCTCGGGGTCCTGCCACGCAAGCGGTCGCACGTTGTCCAGCAGCCTGGCGTTGAGCTCATCGATGGGGCTGACCCCCACGTCGGGCGCCTGGCCCTCGCCCTGGGCCACGCCCGCCCAGGTGGCGCCATCCCCGCCTCCCTCCTTGGGCCTGCGCGGGCCGTTGCAGGCGTTCGTCAGGCCGCGGCGAGCGTGGCTGCGCGGATCGGGTGGGAAGAAAGGTACTCAACGGGGGGGGGGGAGTGATGGGTTGCAACAAGGGAAAGAAACAGTTCGCACAATGGGCACAACCCCTACAAACAAATGTATGGGAGACTCTTTCACGGCTTGAGAAGATGATGTGGAGTCTTCTGTGCAACAGGAAGAGCGCCACGATGAGGAAGGAAACATGCACTCAGGGGGGGCGGGGAGGATGGGTGGGACGAGGCGGCGGCGGCAGCTACAGCACCAGGCGGGTGGGAGAGAGGGAGAGTGGGGCTCGGATCCGAGTCTCTGCTGGGCGTTGGGTGGTGGGGATGTCCGTGAAGGGTTGGAGAAGATGGGCGCATGATCCAATGGCAAGCGAAGGGCATGCAAGCCGCTGGGTGACCGGCTCACGACCGACGGCTGGCGGAGTTAAGGCAGGCTCGAGTTTCGTGCAGAGAGGGGAAAATGGGAGGCAAATGGGGCCAGCGTTGGCGTTTGTAGGTACCAATGGGCCTGTGTGGCGCGTCCTGCCCCGGACTCTGGCGACCTGGGGGCGGAACGCGGGCGGATCAAAACCGCGAGCGGCGCGCTGGCGTCCAGCACCTTGGGGGCATGCGCGGCCGTCGAGCGACGCCACGGGCGAACGGGCGCTTTAGTCGATCCGCAAGCAAACCGCCAAGGCGCCCCCCGCTCGACCGGAGCGACGTCGGCGCTCGGTGGGCTCGATGCCACTCAGGATGCGGCGACAGGCGCCCAGGCATCGCCCGCGATCACCCGGAACTTGCCCAACCCCGAAAGAAAGCAAAAACAAGCAAGCAGCATCTCCCGCTCCCCTGCGCACCATGCACATCCGCACACGCCAAACGCAGTTTCCCAACATCCGCCCACAAGACTTCTCCGCCGCCCAACCCAAACCACCCCACAGATCCTCAATCCCTCCATCCCCCCCACTACCCCCTCATCAAATTCGCCCCCTCCCCTTCGACCCAACAGCCCACCCGCCGTGGAACTTGGACTCCCATTTCTCCAGCTTGCCCATCGCCCTCGCCGCGCGGTCGCGCCGACGCCCTCGTCCGCGGTCGATCAGCGACGGCTGCGCGCGCGAGGCCCCGAGGCGTCCGCCTTGTGGCGCCGGTCGCTGCGGGGCCGCCTGTGTTTGCGCGAGGCGGCCTGACGCCATGGATGACAAGACGCGAACGGCGGGCGCTTGGGCGCCAGAGGGGCACGTGGGGGGGAGGGGGCTTGTCTTTGTACTGGCGGGAAGCGTAACTTGCGTACGTACAACGGGGAGTTACGCGAACTGGGGTACTTCTTGATGATCAAAAAGGAGAACAAAACAGAAAAAAAAAGAAAAAAAAACGCAAACTGGGAATGAAAAGGATGCTGTTGGGTCGACATTCAATTTGACGAAGTTGCGCCGCTGCACTATCTCAGGCTGCTGATGGTGTGACATTATCATGACAGAAGGACTGACTAATTGGCCTGGCCTCAAAGGGGCACCGCGGTTTGGGCTCTGTCTGCAACTCCGTTGCTCAACTACTCTGTTATGACCACGAGAACCCAGCCTCCCTGATCAATAATATAGGAATTGAGTTTACCGGGTTGGGTGCGCAGATCCTGAAGTGTCGTCTTGTTAAAATCTTCCCTTTGCCTCCCTGACCGGATCCACAGAGCTGGGCGGCTGCAAAGTAAGGGGCAAGGTGTTTGCGCAAACATGGCTAGCCCCATGAGCTATGTGCCTCCCAGCTTGTTGCTGGGGAACGGCCGTGGCGGCATTGTCGAGGGTGTCCATGCATTCTACGGTCCCATACCGTAGCGAAACGACCCTTTGGTCGCAGCTGCATTCGAGTTTAACTAACGCCAGTGGAGCTAATGCCGCGCTGTAATATGGTTTTATTTAAGGCGTTTGTGCTTGCCGTTCGTGGGTGCTTGGTGCTTCACTGGGGCTTGTGCACCGCGGCTGGCGAACTTGTCACCTGGGATGGGCCGAATTTGACAAGAGTAATTGTGAAAGATAGGATAAATTCACTGCCAAAACGACATAATTGTGGCCATAGGTGCAGGAAGTAGCATCGAATATACGCAGAGCGATTGTGTCGATTATTCAAAGTTGTCAGAAGGGCATTCAAGTAAGTGTTTCACTGCCAAAACGACATAATTGTGGCCATAGGTGCAGGAAGTAGCATCGAATGTACGCAGAGCAATTGTGTCGATCATTCAAAGTTGTCAGAAGGGCATTCAAGTAAGCGTTTCAGAAGAGGGAAAAGGGGACGTGTCGACTTCCCCGTGCAGGGCAAAACTTCGGTTTGAGGGAAAGAGGCTTAGGTATGGATGTTGGAATCAGGCATGTCGAAACAGCATAATAGACTGATGCGCTTTGCAACCTTGTGCCCCTGCATAAAGTTTTGTAGTGGAGGGCAGTATTTTGTTACGAAACCAATCATACTACCTGATGCCGGTGGCACCACTCACATTGGCTGGTAGTACATTAAATTAGCTGTACATTAACATTTGTACATTATATCTTTCATTATACGCTGATTGACAGGTTAAGTGTGCGCGGAGCACACTCTGTAACGTCTCTCGTTGGGTTTCGCGCTCTCTCGCACGCAGCCCGCGCGTGGTCCTCGCTAGGACCCGCATCAAGTGGTTTCGGAGCCCGGGTACTGCGGTATGCGTCGGTATGGACCGACAGCTGGTACCCATGGACGCGGAGGACACCGCGGTTACACCGGCGGTGGAGGAACCGGGGCCGTCTGGAGGGGGCCGAGAGTGGAACGGCCATGGACAGCCGGGAGGAGCGAATGGCGTGATGCTGCACGCCCAAACGCTCGCGCTGAGGCAGGGCGACACGATCAACGTCGCGAACATCACCCAGGGAATCGACGCGCAAGGTTTGGACCGCTGGCGCGGCTTGATGGAGAATCAAATGGAGGATGCGGTGGGTGGCATCCGCGTGGAGGTCGGCAGGGAATTGGAAGGATGGCGCGCTCAGTTGCTGCAGGGAGCGGACGCCGAGCGAGCTGCTTTGCGTGGCGAGGTGCTGCGGGCGTTGGAGGCGCAGCGCGCGGAATTGGAGCGCATGAACGCATGTGTTGGCGAGCTAGAGGCCAACGCGCAGACCGACCGAGAAGCAGCCAGGAATGCGCATCGGTGGGAGTTCCGACAGCGCAGCGAGGCGCATATGAACACGCGGCACCAAGTCGAGGAGATGGAGCGCCATCTGCTCGAGCAAATCGAGGAGCTGCGCGTTGGAATGCAAACCGCGCGGCAGGCCATCAGAACGGCGGAGATGGCGCGGAATGCCGCGGAATCCGGACGGGAACGGGCCGAGAACGAGCTGCGCGTTCGTCTTGGAGCCGCAGAGCAGGCCGAGGCCGAAACTCGCCGGCGAATCGACGAGATTCAGTCGGGAGCCGCTGGAGCTGGCGGGATGCAACGAAATTCGGACGGGGCAGACCAACGCCCACGTTCCGACGCGGCCAGAATCGGCGAGGATGCGGCGCGAGGCGCAGCGACGGTGCAGACGGCTGGCCACCCGAGTGGCGAGCAGGTTTCGAGGCCAACCGACCCGTCGGCCGGCACGTCCTTCGGCCAGGTCTTCGAGTTCTGGCAGGCAGCGGACGGAGAGGGGCGCGGCGGTACCGTGGCGGCGGAGCAGCAAGGCGCGCAGCGGTGTGCGAGTCAGACAGAGCGGTCTGCACAGCACCACAGTTCACCGTTGTACTGTGGTACCACTGTGCTCGGTGCGGGTACTGTGACGGTACCAATGCACACCGAAGGGGCGGAAGCGCAACCCGTGACACCCGTGCTGCACACCGAGGGCGGCGTGGCACACACCGTGGAGCCTACGCCACACACCGAGGGCAACGTGGCACACACCGTGGAGCTAAGTGGGTACAACGTGGAAGATTCTGTGGGCATGACTAGCCCCACGGCGGGATTCTCTGCGACCATGACTGATGCTCGTGCTGTGAACGGCATGGTGGGTGTTGAGTCAACTGCGACAAGTGGGATTCGACCCCAATTGCCCCCACAATGCTACAGTACTGGACCGGGACTGCATCCCCTCAGTACTACGCCTGTTGTGCACAATACTTTACCATTTGTGCATAATAATGGAGGCTATGGACCTGAGCCCTATGCAAGTTTGGGATCATATGCATCAGTGGGTGGCAGGGGAAGTGTACGGAGTACTATCCCAAGTGTTTTTGGCGGCGCAGAACATTGCCCAGAAGTTGCTCAGAGTGGTCTCAGTGGTCTGAACAAAGGTCCTGGAGGCAGTTCAGGTGGTCCAGGAGGTGGTCCAGGAGGTGGTCCAGGAGGCCCAGGCAATCCAGGAGGATTCCCAGGAGGATTTCCAGGCGAACCAAGCGGACCAGGCGGACCAAGCGGACCAGGTGGTCCAGGTGGTTCAGGAGGTGGAGCACCTGATGGTGGGGATCCTGGTGCCCCAGGTGGTCCGATTGGTGGATCGGCACCGGGGGATCAGACGTTTGATCTCTCCAGGATTCGGATTCAGGCACCTGAGAGGTTCACTGGCGCACATGACCAGTCCCCTACATAGTGGATTCTATCCATGGCTAGGTGGCTTCGGGGTGGAGGTATCCCTGAGCGGAGATGGCTACCGATCATGACTGCACACTTGTCCGGTGCAGCAGGATCTTGGACGAATCTGCTTGAGCTACGTGTGGCATCTGGTGAGCGCACATACCCCACAGATTGGCGTACATTTTCTGCTGAGTTGCGCACGGCTTTCGAGCCTACGACCTTGGAGGAGACGTCTCGTCGTCAGTTGCGACGTCTCAGATAGTTTGGATCGATTGAGGACTATGTTCAGCACTTCCTCAGACTGAGCTTCCGTGTGGCTGATTTGTCATGGAGTGAGCGTTACAGTCTTTTCCTGGAGGGCCTCAGAGAACCTATCCGATCTCAGGTGGCAGGCATGTCTTTTGGCGATCCTGACATGGCCATTAACATGGCCCAGAGATTGGGAAGCTTGAGACGTGGTTGGGATGACAGCTATCGACAGCGCCCAGGCCAGCAGGCAGGTGGCAGATTCCAGAGGTCCAGGGGAAGGACTACGCATGTTGCAGTTATTCAGCAGAGAGGACGAGGACGTGGACAGTCAGCAGGTCGATTCCAGCGGTCAGGTGGACATGGCAGTCAGCGTGGCAATGGTCGAGGACGGGGCTCCGGCCGTGGCGATGCACCAGGTTCCGACACTTGTCGTCTGTGTGGATCCAGGGATCACTACGATTCTCACTGCCCAAGATTGGCTGAGGCAGCACGTCATTTAAACGCCTAGGAGGTTGGAAGCAGCCACCTTTCCAACCTAAGGTGCATGTACGTGGCGTGAGGAGAAGACGTAGGCGACGGCAGTGGCAGTTGTGTGAGAGAGACATAGGAGGGAGACGAGTTTTTGAGGCAGTGTCAGGCAGCCAGTCTCGGAGGGTGGCAGTGTTGGTGAGGCCAAGGCGAGCAGAGGCTTCAGAGACGGTGCATGGACAGTTGGTGAGTGAGGAGAACTGTGCAGTAGCTGCTGATTTGAATGTTGATCTTGGTGCTTGTCGTAACCTCCAGACAGGCATCGACTGTGGTCAGGGGGTCACAGTCAGAACTCGTGTTGAGAATCACGATGTTGAGTTGGACCCAGTGGACAGCATAGTGGACACGGCGGAAGTGGGTGTGCAGACAGATTCTGTTCCCACACGTGATGTTTGGGGTGGTGGTGATTCACAGGCATGCATGAAAAACCTGGAAGAACCACTGGTGTGTCCCTTGGCTGGTCCGGGATATACTGGGCTTGAACTTGCGGCTACTTTGGGTAGACATTCAGTTTTTGCATACTTGGATAGTGGCTCAACTGGAAACTACATTTCTGAGAAGTTGGCACATCAACTTGGACTTGCATTGACTGAAGAACCTGTGCGGCTGGAAATGGCAGACAAGACAACACGTTATACGTTGGGAAGAATTGCAAATCTACGAATGCGTTGTGGTTCTGTCGTGACCAGATTTTCAGCGGATGTTTTTCCT